TATATATATATCACTCAGCTGTACCACTTGCACTTGATTCTCAATGTAGAACCGGTTACCATAGTACCTATGCCACAGTGTCAACATTGGGCTGCCTTGAAATGACCTTTGCCAAATTACTTCATTTATCATCCTTAGTCTCAGTTTTCCCCAAAGTCTCATGACATGAGCAAAATACAGAAAATTTTCTGGAAGCACATGATATGTAGCCTGGAGTTTAAATTCCAAAGGTACCCTTATACCTTCCTGAAATCTCGATTGTAGTCTTTATATTTCTATTCACGTTCTGGTCCTTTAAACTCTTAATAGAATCTTCCAGTAAACCCAGCCTACAGCATTCTAGAGCTTCCCAAGTGACCATCCCTTAACCTTTTTATTCTCCTCCCTTGGACCAGTTCCAAAAGCCTGTAAACCATGTGGCCTTGTAGCATTGCAGCAATGTCCTCACTTCTCTTGTACCAAAATCTGTCCTGGTCATTTTCCTTTCACTGAGACAAAATACCTGAAACCTACAACTTAGAAGAGGTTGACCTGGGCCCATGTTTTCAGTTTGTAGGCTGCTGTGTCCAAGAAAGGATGGTAGGACCGTGGTGAAGAAGAGAATGCTGCTCCTGTCACTGTGAGTAGGAGGCTGAGAGGGAAGAAGAGAATCCAAGGTGGGAGATATCCCCTTACATGTGATGGTCCCGGTGACTAATCTTTTCTTGTGAGACCCTGCCTCCAAAGCCCAAGTCAGCTCTCCTGTTCTTATAATCAATAACCATCCAAAGGCCCCAGCTTGAAGTGCACAAGGCCCTTGGGACATTTACATCTAAACTATCACACTCTGAATCCAAAATGACTCCATATTACTGTTTCTGTAGCCTACATGAAGCATGTCCTTCTGTCCCAGAAGTCTCCTAGAAATGTCATTACATCTGTCTGGCTCTGCTGTGGCCCCATTCCTATTCCTGCACAGTCTTTTTAACAAGTGACTGTCATGTGCTGATTGCTGTAGGCCTAAGCCACGTGTTTCAGCCTCTCATTCTGCAAATAGAATGTCACTCAACACTAGATGAGGTAAGGGGCTCCAACCTTCAAGGGTCACTGATGGAGGAGGGTGCTAGTGATCACGTGTACAAAACAGATTAGCAGAGCCTGGGTGGGAGAAGGTTGAATCTGAAATACAAATTCATAGTGCCAAGAAAAGAGTGGTACAGCCCATAAACAGATAAACACCAGCAATAAGAGGCTGTTTCAATAATCTTACTTTGATTTTGCTATCAAGCCTTGAAATGCTCTATTCCTTATCTAAAGTTAAAAGGAGGAGCTTAAAATAAAAATTCATACTTTTGTATATCATAACAAAGGCTCAAAACTAGTTCATGGGACTGTACAAAACATTAGTTTTTCATGTTGAATTGTTTATAACTCAATAACTTACAGGTGTACCTCAATTTACTTTGTGCTTTGATTCCTGCAAGACTGTGCATAGACTGAATTTGGGCAACTATTTTCAAATTTGGGGCACTGAGAGGAGAAATCCAAAATATGTGTAATGTGAAAATTCTTTATTTTGCCTATAAGTATGGGTCATGGTCTATTGGCATTTTGTAAAGTCGAGTTTAGTCATATTCTTAACACACATGATGGACAGAAACACACACACACACACACACACACACACACACACACACACACACACACTACTTAGCAGTACCTGAAGAGTGTTTTCCTTTGACAATCTTTTACACATCCATCTGTCCATGTGAGAATAGAACTCCTTAAATTTATTTTGGTGTAGTATGCTCATCCTAACCACAAATTCCATAAACAAATGGACCTTCCAGAAACTTGACATCAAAATAACTTCAGGAACCAACAATTCTCAAAACAAGAAACAAAGTGCTCTTTTAATGTCTGTTTTTATTGGATCAAAGTGTAGGCTCTCGACCATCTCAGTGGTACCATCTCAATGATACCAATTAGCATGGTGAGTCTGGCAAGTTAAAAGACTTCCCTGGCAGAGTCCAACCCATATGCAGGGCTGGGTAGGGGGTGTGGAGCACAGGGATCAGAAGAGGAATATATTGTTGACTACACTGATTTGATGGCTTGGAAATGTTGTTTGAACCACTGACACAAGTTGATGTTGAATTAGTGTCAGAACCAAACATATATCATGGACTCTTCTGATTTGCTGGCTGGAAAATGTTATTTGAAGTACTGATAGAAGTTGCTATCAAATAATTAGTACTAGAATTAAGGTTATATTAGGGACTGTTGTGACTTATTGGCCTGGAAATGTTATTTGAACTGTTGATAAAAGCTACATTGAAATAGTACTAGAATTAATGCTACTCTTCATGGGAATTATGTAATAGGCAATAAGCTGTGAACTCAAAAATCTTCCTTTAGCCCGAGGAATGGTTGGCAATGTTTAAAGAACAATCTCTTCTAACTGAACATTTCTAGGATTTCTGAATATGACAATGACATAAACTTCTGAAAGTAGGGCAACAAAAGCATAGAGAAAGTATTTTCAGCCTCTTTGTAATGTTTCTTTTTTAAGAAAAAAAAAGGAAAGAGAATGCAATGGTTTATGTCAATACATCCCCTAGGACCTTCATGCACTTGTGGGCAGAGCTTCTGGAAGAGGATTAGGCCATGGAAGTACTACAGCAGATTTGCTGTTGGAATGTGAGTTCTGATCCACAGGCGGATTTGCAAGGGTGTGTCTCCCTTACCAGCTCCCTCTTATTCTTTGCCTTCCTAGCTGCCATGACATTGAAGGATTTCTTCAGCCAGATCTTTCTACCAAGCAGTTTCGAAGTTTAAGCCTCACCAAACATGGACTAAAACCACTAAAACATAAGACAAAGTAGACCTTTTCTAAGTTGCAGGTGTTGGATATTTTTCAGTGAAAAGGAAAATGACCAAGACAGATTTTGGTACAAGAGGATTGAGGACATCACTGCAATGCTACAGGTGCAATGCTACACATGGTTTACAAGGCTTTGGAACTGGTCCAAGGGAAGGGAATGAAAAGGTTAAGGGATATTCACTTGGGAAGCCCCAGAATGCTGTAAGCTGGGTTTACTAAAGATTCTGGTCAGAGTTGAGATGACCAGAATGCTAATAGAATTATGAAGACTAGAATCAGGGGATTTTAGGAACAAGGATGCCTTTGGCATTTACACTCTAGGCCATATGTTGTGCTCTGCCAGAAAATTTTCTCTATTTTGCTTATGTCATAAGACTGTGGGAGGCTGAGATTAAGAATGATAAATGAACTAATCTGGCAAAGGTCATTTCAAGGCAGCCCAATGTTGACACTGTGGCATAGGTACTATGGTAACCAGTTCTACATTGAGAATCAAGTGCAAGTAGTACAGCTGAGTGATTTTTGAAAGTTTAGAGTTTCACCAAAAAGGAAGCACCTGTAAAGTCAGACTCTGTAATGTAATGCAGAGCTTGGTTTCTGAGAAAAATAGCATTAAAAAAGAAGCCAAGTGCTTCATATCAGGCCAATAAGAGGCCTTTGGGGCTTGTGAGGAATTAGTGAGACTCAGCATGTCACAGGCTCAAGGGTACAAGGTTATAAAGCTCAAAAAGGGCCAGATTTGCAGGAATTGCTTTCATAATGCTCAGCCATCTAGACGTGCAGAGACCACTATATTTTTTGTACAAAAGGTCTTGCTGTTCAAGCTGGTGGAAGACTTCTGCTTCATCCATGTGGTTCTGATTTTAGAGGTATGCAGGAAGTAAGAGTTGGAGGTCAGGGAGGCTTCTACTCAGATTGCAGAAGGACATAGTGGGCAGGCAATGTGTCCCTGAGAGGACACCAGGAGCGAAAGTATCAGAGTAAACCTGAAAGGGCAGTAGAGGCCCCAGGAAGTCGGAAAACCAAAATGTGGAATATCTGAGTGATGCTGTAGGCAGAGAGTTGAATCTTCCCAAAATTGAGGCCACTGGAAGTTCATAAGCTGGTGCTGGACAGGCAGGGCCACCCAAGGCATTCAGAGTTCACATCTTTGTCCCTTGTGGAGGACACAGCTACTGTATTTAATGTTTGATCTTTTGGGTTTCCATATTACTTTGGTTCAAATTTTTTTAATTCCTCTGTGCTTCATTTCTGGAATAGGGATATTTTTTCTGTGCCACTTTGTATTGGAAGTGTTTAAATTTCTTTTTGATTTTTATAGGAGTTCACAGCTATAAGTTTGCCTTATGTCTCTGAGGGGAACTTTGGTGTTGAACCTTTCAGGCAATCTGAAACTGTTACCACTCTGGTGACTCGTAGAAATAGAATAAATGCACTTTGCATGAAGATATATGTGTAAGTCTTTTGGGGGACAGAAACAAATGTTCTGGTTTATAAATAAATTTCTCTCCCATGCCTCGTGTGCTTAGAGGTGGGAATTTGGAGAAGTGGTTGGACTGTGGGGTGCTATCTTCATCAGGTTTTTAGTGAACCATAATGTTTACAACTAAATGTGTTGTTAGGAAGCAGTGCCCAGTTGGAAGAGGTGGGTCACTGATTCGTGGCCTTGAAGTGTACGTATGTGTCACTCACAGACTCCTTTCTTCCTTCCCTGTTTTCAGGATGTGTGACACAAGCAGTGTTTTCTCCATGATCCTCCTCTGCACAACATCCTGCATTGGAGCCAAGAGTATGGACTAAATATGTGACCTAAAATAAACGTCTCCTTTATGTTGTGGGTGCTGGCTATTGTGTCCCCATGATAAAAGAGTAAGGCATAGTGCATGAGATTTTTCTGACAATGGAGCCTTGAGTGAGCACGGCGAGCTGAAGTACTGACAGGCAGAACCAACATAATAATGACAGCTTTGGACCCCTGTATCCATCCATGCCTAGAGCTTGATCTATATTTTAGTCTCTGGTTTCTAGCACAAAGTACCATGAATTGGCTCAAATCATAGACATTTATTTCTCATTGTTCCATGACTGGGAAGTTTAAGTTTAGATGTCTGCTTTTCACAATGTCCTCCCATGGCACAGGAAAGGAGACACAGAGAGGGAAGGAACGAGAGGGAATAGAGAAAAACTTCTTTGGTCTTTTCTTATAAGGATAAGGGATACTACTCTATTATGAGAACTCTGCCCTTATCACTATCTAAGCCTAACTATTTACCAAGAGGTCCACAGCCAAATGCAATACACTGGGGGTTAGATCTTCAACATATGAACTTGAAGAAGATAACAAACGTTCAGTCCATAGCAATGTTCTTCTAGACTTACAAGTTCCATTAACCTTTAAGTTAACATTTTGCTTTAGAGTAATTAGGGTTAGGTTCTTTGTCATTTGTAGCTGAATCTTCCACTGAGGACACCAGTGCATTTCAGCTGCACTCATTGTAAGTTTTCATTTGTTGCAGGACTAACGCTGTTTTGTTGTCCCCTGCCCTACCCTTTTCCTTTTCTTGTTCCCTGTGTGCTCTATGCTATAGCATTCTGATTCTGAATTTTGATTCCTACATTGCTTTGGGTACCCACTTCCTGGTTAGAAGGTAACTCAAATAATTACTATTATAAAAAAAAATAAAAAGATAAAGGTTTCCATTAAGCTGCTTTCATTTTCCTCCAGGTTTCCCTACACTGTGACTTCCATGATAAATCTTCATAGACTGTGAGTATTCGGGGGGCGACAAATGGTTCCGTAGCACGTCTCGTAAAGATTACTGCATTACCTGCTGTTTTTCAACTGTCTGGAATGAAGTATTTAGGTAGATTGAATTTGATAATCTTGAATATCGTGCTGCATAGTCACATTTTTGGCCAAACTATTCTAACTTGGCTGGGTTGTTTGTTGATATTAGTCAATACTTAAAACTGTGGCAACCACTCAGGTTGTTGCTTTGCTGTGGGACTTGAGTCTTTGGCAGGCATCACTGAAGTTGCTTCCAGGGCGCGTTGGGAGCCTGAGAGGCCTCTGACCTTGAAGTTAGTGT